TATAAATAAATAAATAAATACAGAATATAGTATATTACATGGTAATTTAATTGAATAAATGGAAATTAAAATTAGTATAATTGGGTAAAAATATAGGCAGGGAAAGGGGGCGAGTTAACCCATGAGGAAACAACCATTATTACTGGAGCTCTGGATATGACACAGAAGACTGCTAAAGATGCAATGACACCCATATCAGAAATCTTCTCTCTCGACATAAATTCTAAGCTCGACGGGTATATTTATATACTTATGTAGTTATAAGTATATAATCAATTGTAAGCATCCATTAAAGTTGTTTTTTTTTTCTCTCTGATTACTGTTATTAGGAAAACAATGGCAGAAATAATTAGGAAAGGGCATAGTCGTGTTCCTATATGTTCAGAAAGCCCTACAAATATCATTGGCCTCATTTTGGTAAGCACCCTCTGAAGATTTCTAGCTTGTTAATAATTCTGTATATATTTACAGTTTTAATTCTTGTTTTATAGGTCAAAAACTTGATCCAGTTTCGTCCAGAAGACGAAACACCCATCAGAGATCTCACTATAAGGAGAATACCAAGGTATTACTGTTGACGATATACAACTTGAGTTATAATATATAATTTTGTTGGACTTTTAAGAAGAATAAATTTATAGGAGATGAGAAGAAAAATAGATAATGTGGATACTTACGATTTGTTAAAAATATGTGCAGGGTGCATGGAAATTTACCTCTTTATGACATGCTGAACATATTTCAAAAAGGTCATAGCCATATGGCTGCTGTTGTCGATGGTGAGAATGAAGAAAATGAGATTAATGTAAAAGGTAAATATATATATATATATATATGTATATATATTACCTGAATTTACCCATTTCATGTTTTCAATTACTACAGTAACTATTTTCCACATGAAAGTTAACCAAAGTGTTAGGTTCATGGTTTATTGTTTTCCAGGAATCGATCATCAGTCTGGAGAAAACGAGCAATTCAATATATGTTTAATGAATTCTTGTCTTTGTAACTCGAAAATAAAGAGTGTCGAGAGGGACTTAGACAAAAACCTGCAAGCCCAAGTCAGATTTCAGGAACAGCAGGAGCAATACATACATGATTTTTCTAATGAGGATGTGAAATCTCTTCCAGTCCTAAGTGAGGGGGTGATTGGCATTATAACACTGGAAGATGTCATGGAAGAACTGATACAGGTCACTATAATTACATATATGTATATATTTATGTGTCTAAGTAGTTTCATATTGGCACAGGAGTTTAATGTAATCACAGAAAAAGTATGGGAATTTATGCAAATGCTAATCACACCTGTTTGCTTTTGCAGACCGAAATTCTTGACGAAACTGATGAATACGTTGATGTTCACAATAGGTAATGAATGTTTACATATCATTTTTTTTGGCAAGAAGTACTAAAAATCCTTCTCGAATGGTTTTAAGATCGTATTCTCTTGTACTAATTTTATTTACTTCGTAGTTTTTTTATTATTAACTGTAAGATAATTTTATTTTACCGATTCTTATATTTAGGATTAAAGTCAATATGTCATCTCCATCGATGAGGTCTCCTAGAGCAGCATCAGCATCTTATCTTCCCTGTAGAACTCCGATTGCATCCCCGATCTCTCCATACCGCCAAAGTCCGCTATCTTCAAGCAATCATACTTCTATTTTGCATTCACCGGTTTCACCTTATACTCAGTCACCATTTATTAGACCAGTTCTTTCTGCTTCCCCTGGAAAATCCACTCCACATTCTCCAGCTATCTATTCAACCACTGCTTGCCATTCGCCATCCTCACATCGGGTAAATAGATTACATCTAGCTTAAAGAATCACTGAGCTACTCGAAAACATTCAAAAGTTGTGTTATAGTAGATTTATAAGTTCATATTTATGTCAATTTTTGTTCTCTAAATGATAAAAAATTTGAACAGGTTTCAAGAAAATCATATGAGAAGCTGAGAAGGCCTGCAGGTGGGTTTTAAACCAGCACCAAGTAAAGCATAGAACTTCACTTGAAATTATACAAAGATGAGTAATCAAACAGTGATGGAACTTTTCAATTTCCAAGTGTCTTTCATATTAAGAATCAAAAGAAATATGATTTGCTGTTCATAAACATGTTAAGAGGAGCCAAGAAAGCTTTCTATTTCTTTGTTTTAACAAGATTTTTCTTGTTTTGTGTTTTTATATTTCCATACTATAATGTGTATATGATGGGATATTGTTATTTCTCTGTGTTACTCTATTTTCCTTCCCTGAATTTCTGAAAAAATGTCAACAGAAGAAATAGACAAATATTATATATATATATATATAGTGTTTTCAAGATAATAATGATATGCAAAATCTTGTGAAAAATATCATAAATATCTCAAAAGCTATTACCCAAAAAGACACCAAAACACCACCACACCACACATTGCCTTTGGATAAGGTAACTGTCAATAAGAATCCAATAAACTTTGTTATTTCTAAAGAAGAAAAAGTTGAAATCAAACATAAAACCCAAATCCAAGAAGCCATGAAAACACTCATTTGCTCAAAACAATCCCCACAACTTCTTCCCCTTCCAAAACCATATCCACGGAACCCACCTCTGCAACATAAAATCAGCCAAACCCTAATCCAACCCACACCCACTTGGAAACTCCATGCCCAAACTAATGCCAAAGGCTTTAGCAGCAGCAGCAGCAAATCACTCAGAGCCAAGACCAGGAATCCCAACAACAACAACGGTAAGGAGAGCGGTGAAGAGGATGAGCCACTTCCTCAAGTGGTGTTTAACAGGATGATAGTGAGGATTTTGGTATCTGTTGGGGCACCTTTGGCTATTGGTATTGGACTGTTGAACCTTTTGGGTTTGATCAAGGACCAGAACTTATGGGATGTTCCCATGTGGCTGCCATTTCTTACTACTTTGCTCACTTTTGGAGCATCAGCTCTTGGGATTGCTTATGGCAGCTTGTCTGCCAGTTGGGATCCAGAGAAGAAAGGCTCTGTTCTTGGATTGGAAGAAGCTCAGCACAATTGGGCAGAGATGTGGAGTGAAGAAAATGATAGCTAACCTCTACTTCTGAATTTGTATGTATATGCACACATATTTTTCTTACATGCATATATTGTCTGTTTTATGTTATCATGTTAAGTTAGAATTGATTCAAATCCTAACCTCAATCCATTCTAAAGCATATTTTGGGACAAAGCAAGTTAAATTACCAGTAAACCAGAACTTATCTAAACCTAAAGTTGATCGAGTATCGACTACTAACATCATTTTAAAGTAGCAAAAAGGGTTAACAACTAACTAACCCAAATTTCTAACAATCATGCAATCAGAATTCAAAGAACACTTAAAATCACTAATGACTTCGGTAAACCTCAGTGTCACATAGAAGTATTTATCAATTTGTGAACCCAAATAACTAATCTCAAATACTCTTACTCAAGTTCTTGATGGTAAGTTATGAACGATCCAAACCAATTCTAAAAATCAACGAATCACATGTTTTTCTAAATATCGCAGAAATCTATAACAAAAATCAACCGCACAAAAAGAAAAGCAAATTTGAATCAGCAAATAACACAAGACTTGGAACCATCATTATCATTATCTAAAGCGGTAGCATCAGTTTGTGTACTTGTTTGAGGATTAAAACCTTTGAGATTCCTAAGCTCACCACCACAGTCAACTTCAACTGTACAAATTGACATCGCCGTATCATTCTTCTCACCAAATTTCTTGGCCTCTTCCTTCTTCTTCTTCTCAGGCTCATTTGCAGGTCCAACATAGACAATTTCAATGGGGCAAATCTTCCTCAATTTGCTTTCAATTTCCACAACATCAATATCACCAGTCACTGTCAATTTCTTCTCCTCTATCTCGACTAAAACCGAATCCACACCTGCAAAAATTTACATGAATAATGTAAAAAATTATGTACTTATCATTTTACTGAGTTTAATTTACAGACCCGATAAAATTGTGTCCGATTCAGTAATGTTATTAAATTCACAGAGTTCATTACCTGAACTCCCACACACGATATCCAAAGCTTTTGTCTTGTATATATCATCATCCGGTAAATCGAACTTCAACACTATTTTCTGCCCAAAACAACAACTTAGTTTTAATATCGGTGAGGATAATCCATCAAATGATTCCAATCTCATAGATCCGCAAAGGGAAAGGATGGGAGACTCCAAAATAGAATACAGAATAGATTTGCAGAAGAACAACTTTTTATATGCTTAAATTTAAACCCAAGAGAAGTAAATACCAACCTTCATGTTTGAAATCTCTAGTGAATTTATATTGCTAGGTATAATCGCTGGTAGAGAAAAGTTTCTTTCCCGCTAGAAATAGAGATCTTCGCTGCAAGAATTCAAGGTTAAGCAGAAGAAGAAGAAGAAGAAGAAGTTCAACCCTTTTCCTAATTGTTTCCCTTTCATGGATACTGTTCAAATTATTGCAACTTGTTGCAGGGGTCCACCCCTTTTCATGGATACTGTTTCACTTCCATGGATAAAAACTCTAAGCCCGACGAGTATATATATATACTTATAGATATGATATATGTCTCATTGATATTAGCAGGAGAAATGTAATTAACTAATTGTAACCATGAATTAATTTTGTTTTTTTCTTCTGAGTTTAATTATTATTATTAGGAAAACAATTGCAGATACAATTAGAGAATGACATAGCGTGTTCCTGAATATTCAGAGAGCCCAGCAACTCTCATTGATCTCATTTTGGTAAGCACCCTTTAAACATTTCTTTTTATAGGTCAAAACTCTGATATGTTGAACACATTTCTCAGAAAGGTCATAGCCATATGGCTGTTGTCACACTGATTTTTGTAACTCAAAAATCAAGAATGTCAAAAAGGTATTAGACAAAAACCTGCATGCTCAACTAAAATTTCAGGAACAATACATACATACACGATTCTTCTAATTAGGATATTGAATCTCTTCCAGCCCTAGGCGAAGGGTTGATTGGCATTATATCACTGGAAGATGTTATGGAGAAATTGATACAGGTTAATATATGTATATATATATATATGTCTAAATAAACTTTGTTCTTTCTGAAAAAGAAAAAGTTGAAATAAAACATAAAACCCAAATCCAAGAAGCCATGAAAACACTCATTTGCTCGTTACAACCTTCACAACTTTCCCTTCCAAAATCATTTCCATGGAACCCAACTCTGCGACATAAAATTGGCGAAACCCTAACCCAACCCACACCCACTTGGAAACTCCATGCCCATGCTAATGCCAAAGGCTTTAACAACAACGGTGAGAGTGTTGAAGAGGATGAGCCACTTCCTCGAGTGGTGTTTAACAGGATGATAGTGAGGACTTTGGTATCTGTTGGGGCACCTTTGGTTATTGGTGTCGGATTGTTGAACCTTTTGGGTTTGGTCAAGAACCATAGCTTATGGGATGTTCCCGTGTGGCTGTCATTTCTTACTACTTTGCTCACTTCTGGGGCATCAGCTTCTTGGGATTGCTTATTGCAGCTTGTCTGCTAGTTGGGATCCAGAGAAGAAAGGCTCTGTTCTTGGACTGGAAGAAGCTCAGCACAACTGGGCAGAGATGTGTGAGGGAAGAAAATGATATAGCAAACATTTTGTATTTGTATGTATACGTACATGTATTTTTCTTACATGCATATGCTGTTTACTTCATGTTATCATGTTAAAGTTAGATTTGATTCAAATCCTAATTTCAAGAAACTCCTTCTCTGATACTGATTTGTCATAAAATGACTACTCTAATAAGCATATTTTCTCAGAAAGCAAGTTAAATTACCATTAAAGCAGAACTTATCCAAATCCAAAGCTGACTGGGAATTAACTATTAACATCATTTTAAAGTAGCAAAAGGGGTAATAACTAACAACTCCAAATTTCTAACAATCATGCAATCAGATCTCAAAGAACACCCAAAAATCACTAATGACTTCAGTAAAACTCAATGTCATGTAGAAAGTATTCATCCCAGTACTATTTACTCAATTTTCAGGCTCAAATGATCAACTTTTGAACCCAAATAGTTAATTATACTCGAAGTCAAGTTCTTGATAGTAAGTTATGAATGATCCAAACCAATTCTATAAATAAATGAATCACATGTTTTTCAAAATATGGTAGGATATCTCAAGAATCTATAACAAAAATCAACTTCACAGAAAAAAGCAGAACTGAATTAGCAGATAACACAAGTCTTGGTACCATCATTATCATTATCTGAAGTGGTAGCATCAGTTTGTGTACTTGTTTGAGGATTAAACCCTTTGAGATTCCTAAGCTGAGTATCATGATATGGTCCATAATAAAAAATGGGTGCAGGTGCCACCTCTTCCCCCTTCTTCGCATCTGGTTTCTTGGCCTCTTCCTTCTTCTTCTCAGGCTCCTTTGCAGGTCCAACAGAGATAATTTCTGTGTGGCAAAGCTTCCTCAATTTGCTCACAACTTCCACCACGTCAATCTCCCCTATCACTGTCAATTTCTTCTCCTTCATCTCTACTGAAACCGAATCAACACCTGCCAAATTTACATGAATAACCTAAAAGATTATTTTATTATCATTTTTACTGAGTTTAATTTATAATTTTGTCCGATTCAATCGTGTTATTTAATTCGCAAAGTTCATTACCTGAAATACCAGTCACTATCTGCATAGCTTTTTTCTTGGATTTGTCATCATCCCGTAAATCCAACTTCAACACTATTTTCTGTCCAGAACAACAACTTAGGTTTTAACATCGGAAAGATAATCCATCAAATGATTTCAATCTCAATAGATCCGCAGAGGGAGAGGATGAGAGACTCCAAAACAGAATGCAGAACAAATTTGCAGAAGAAAAACTTTTTATACGCTTAAAATTAAAGCTAGGAAAAGTAAATACCAACCTTCATGTTTGAAATCCCTAGAGATCCCTTCAATAATGGTGAATTTATCCCACTAAGTACGATCTCTGGTCGAGAAACTTTTCCTTCTCGCTAGAAAGAGAGGTCTTCGCTGCAAGAATTCAGTTGTAAAGAGATTAAAAAGGAAGAAGAAGAAGAAGAAGCTCGGGAGAAGTCGGTGAGGGAGGCTCAATAATGGAGTACGACAGAGAAGACGAGTTACGAGTCAATGGTCAACTAAATAGTAGAATTCAACTAAGCTTCCATTGCTTATCTTAATTTTCATGGATACTGTTCGTTCCAATCACTACAAATCCTTGCAAGAGTTTCACCCTTTCTCCTAATTGTTCCATTTTAAGTGTTTTTAGGATTATCTTACATGTAATTTCTGGGCTTTTCTGATAAATCGTTATGTTAATTTTCCTATTAATTCTTGACATATAGAATCAAAATACTCCAACTAGGGTTCTTAGAAGATCTAAACAATATTATTATAATTTAGCCTTTAATTTTTTTTGTTACTGTTATACATGTGTGTTTGTACACACACACACACACACACACACACACATATATATCTAGAATTCACTTTTTATATATAATTATAGAATTCACTTTTGATGATATCAATATTACCTTGTTTCATATACATGATTACAGATAATTTTAAATGATACAAAAAAATTTCCAAGTATTTATTAGCTTAAAGAAATACAGATAAAGATCAAAATAGTATTAAGGGTTTAACCTTTCAAAGAAAATAAATTACATTACTAGAATAAAATTGATTGATGAATTCCCAATTATGACTCTAAAAGATTCAAGAAACCAAATATATTCATTAACCAAAACCTAATCCCATGGCAACTTGAAAACCAACACTGACAGAGAAAACATAAGTTTTCCATTAAGAAGATTCAGCAAACAAACACAGACATCATCATCTTCTTCTACACTTCAGCCAATAAAAGTATGGTCTCATCTCAGGACAATGAATTCTGAAGAAGTTTGCAATCTCAGTGACTATTTCATTTTTCTTGGGTTATTCTTTCTTTGATTCTTATTTCTTTGGTTCTGGTTTTTTGGGTTCTTCCTTCTTTTTCTCAGGCTCTTTTTGCAGGACCAACAGAGAGGGTTTCTGGATATCAAAGCTTCTTCAGTTTGTTCACAATGTCCAGCGGATAAACGTTTTCGATCACTGTCAGTTTCTGATCTTTCATGTCAATGGAAATAGATTCCAAACCTGATCAAAACCAGTTTTGGGATCAAAGTTGGTTCAATATAACACCTGGGTTTTTCTTTTGGTTTTGTTTGGTAAACACCCAGATGGAAAAATAAGAACATAATTGAACTCATGTATGATGGACCTTTGAAGATTCATATGGTTGTTAATTTTCTTCAGTTTTTCTAGAATCCAAACAGAGAAAGCTGAACACGAATAAAAAAAGCACTCTAATTAAGCATACCGGAAAGGCCAGAAACTTTCTTCATGGCTTTTTGCTTGTGTTTGTCATGCTATGAATTCAGTTTCAATACCACTTTCTGTAACAAAACAGGATCAGACAATCAAGATCTACGCTAAAACATAATCAGATCGAAACAAAGAAACAGTGAAAATTCAGCAAATAACACAGACAACGTCATCTTCTTCTACACTTCTGCGATAAAAGTATGGTCTCATCTTCGGACAATGAATTCTGAAGAAGTTTGCAATCTCAATGACTATTTCATTTTTCTTGCGTTCTTCTTTCTTTGGTTCTGGTTTTTTGGGGTTCTTCTTTCTTCTTCTTAGGCTCTTTTGCAGGACCAACAGAGATGATTTCTGGATGGCAAAGCTCCTTCAGTTTGTTCACAATGTCCAGCGCTCCGATCGCTGCCAGCTTCTGATATTCCATGTCAATGGAAATAGATTCCACACCTGGTCAAAGCCAGCTACGGAATCAAAGTAGGTTCAATCTAACACCAGGGTTTTTCTTTTGGTTTTGTTTGGTAAAGACCCATATGGAAAAATAAGAACATAATCGAACTCATGTAAGATGGATCTTTGAAGATTCATATGCTCTCAATTTCCACCACATTAATCTCACCAATCACTCAGCATTCCAGTCAGAAAAGCTGTTGTAATTAGTTAAAGCAATTTGGATTAGCTGGTGAGTTAATTTCCATTAGTGTAACTAATCAGGATTAGATATTGTATACAAATACTCAATTCATCTCACTAATGGTAGAACTGTTCATTTTTCTTTTCCCAATATGGTGTTCTCATCTTCCCCGTTCTTCCTCTCTCAAATTAATCTGCATGAGAAATCTCTCGATGTTGAAGTGACTTCAGAGCTTAATAAAATCCACACCTGCCAAAACTCTCATGAGTAGTCTAAAAAACTATTTAATTATCATTTTTCTTGTATTTCTCATCATCCTGTAACTCCAACTTCAACACTATTTTCTGCCCAAAACAACAACTTAATTTTAATATCGGAAGGATAATCCATCAAAGGATTTCAACCCCAACGGATTCGCAGAGGGAGAGGACGAGAGACTCCAAAACAGAACGCATAACAGATTTGCAGAAGAAAACCTTTCTATATGCTTAAAATTAAACCCAAGTAAGGTTAAATACCAACCTTCATGTTTGAAATCCCTAGAGATCCCTTCAATAATCGCCAACTAAACCCACTAAGTACAATCGCCGGTCGAGAAAAATTTCTTTCCCGCTAGAAAGAGAGATCTTTGCTGCAAGAATTCAAATGCCAAGAGATTAAAAATGAAGAAGAAGAAGAAGAAGAAGAAGCTCGGGAGGAGTCGGTGAGGGAGGGCCATAAACGGGAGTAATGACAAAAAAGACGAGTCAATGAGTCAGTGGTCAAATCAACAGTGGAATTCCAGTGGGAGGAAGTTCCATTGACAAATTACAAAAGAAAGCTTCCTATGTTCAGCTGAAAACAATGGTCAAATAAACAGTGGAATTCAAATGGGAAGTTCCGTCGACAAATTACAGAAGAAAGCTTCCCGTGTTCATCTTAACATTCATGGATCCTCGCAAGAGTTCATCCATTTTCCTGACTGTTTCACTTTCAGGGTTTTTAGGGTTATCTCATATGTAATTTACCGGCTTTTTTTTAATCTATAGAATTACAATTTTACAATTAGGGTTCTTAGACGACTCAAACAACATCATTTACAGAACTAGAAGGTAGATCGATTTTTCTTCAAAGATAAATGGGAAGAATAACCAGAGAAAACCAAAAATTAGCGCTCAATCAATGGAGTCCAATCAGTTCATATTAAATATTAATATTTAATAATATCAAACTTTTTTTTTATTGTTATTAATGTATTAATGTAACTAATTAATTAAGATTATTTATTTTAATTATTTTTTAAATCACGTAAAATGATATAATTATTTTAAACTGTTCAAAAAATTGAAAGTTTAAAATCAATAAATAGAAAAATTGGTATTTATTAACTTCTACCGTCAGAAATATGAAAAAGTTTTCGATCATTTTTAACTCGTTTAAAATATTAGACATCATAATATTATTTTAAAAATATAGTAGAAATGTATAGATTATTTTTATTCGAAAAATTAAGAACTTATTTTAATATAATTGACGTATTCGCATATAACATATTTATCGTGAATGAAATAAATTACAAAAATTAGTTAGTAAATATTAATTTTTTCTTATAATTAGGTCTACGTCCATATGTTCGCATGACTAGTAATTTTTAGTAGCTTTTTATAATTGAATCTCCGTCAACATGTTCGAATGACTTAGTAATTTCTAGTAACTTCTCGTAGATAATGTCATGAATATTTTTTGGACCCAATACGTATGAAAAACTCTTTTATGTATTTTTGCATTTCACTCTCTTGTAATAAAAAATTATGTCATGGGTATCTTTTGGGTTGTATGATTGATATTATATATTTGTGTACACCCACATTTATATATATATATATGTGTGTGTGTGTGTATATGTACATGTATATGCATAGGTGGTGGTTCGGTTATGGTGTTGGATGGTTTTTAGAGATCACTTTCAAGTGTTCAATTATTTGTCTTTGGTGGTTTAGTTGGGTCACTCTCTTATATAATATATACATATATATATATATATTATAGTCAATCTCATTCGTGTACTTTTGTTTTTCAGCAGACGACAGTTTCTATTGTTCTTATCGTTTAGGTTTCTCAAAGCCGCCGTGCTTTTCTAATTTTCTTGCCGTCAAACTACGTATCACGTCGTGTCTTATCTCCATTCGTACAGTACATATATTTTGAAATGTCAATGTTTATATAATCACGTACATATATATATATATATATTGCATCATTTTCATACAAATGATTATAGAATTCACTTTCTTTACACTTCTCTGTGACTTTTGCAGCTTGCGTGCTGTCCAGAGTTGTCATCATACATCCCAGAGAGATTGTTGGTTATATATTGGGCTCAAAAAAAATTAGGGTTGCAGTTCTTTTTTGATGTATGTATGTATATATATATGTGTGTGTGTGTATGTGTGTGTGTGTGTTGCACAGGAAAAAAAAAACAGAGAGATGAGAGGTTGTGCTGCAAGAGGAGAAAATGAAGAAGAGAACTATACATACATACATATATATATATATATATATATAAAAGTTGAGTGGTGGTAGAAAAGTAGATGGCTTCCATTCTCTCCCTCTGATGACATCGTTGATGACATCATTGCCGACATCATTGCCGACATCAGCAATTTTGTCCCTTTAAAAAAAGTTTAAATTTAATTTTATTTACTCTTTTTTTCTAGTTCTGCACAAAAGAAAAATGCTGTTCTTTCGGTTCTGAATTTAATTTTTATTGGATTACTTTGTACTTATTTTATTAATAGTGTATTTGATTCGTAACTTCATCCGTAATTTTTTTCTTCGCACTGAATGATTTTTTTTTACGTAAAATTATGTATCTATTTAATTTTGTGATTATTATCTACTTATTATTTTTGTTCTGTTGTGTATCAATTTGGCTTTGGGTTACGGTTATTAGTTCCTGCTAATTAATTTGAGATTGACTTAATTTACACAATTAATTTTATGTCTGTTCAGGACCCAATAAGTGGTATCAGAGTTTGGTTGACTGATTTGTTGATTGATTTGTGGTCTGAGATTAATTGTGTGAATTAGGATTGAGAAATTTGTTGGTACTATGATAAATTATTTTCTTCAAATTATTCAATTTGAAAATCAAAGATGGAGGATATTCTTTATTACAGGGATTTATATGATTGGATTAAGTTAGAAATTGCTAAACTAATGAGAAAATCATATGATGATTGGGAGAGAATGCATACAAAAACTATATGAACTATTCGACAGTATGTGGATAATCGTGTCAACCATTATATAAATAAAGAAGTAAATGTACAGGTTTTGTGGAACAAATTAAAAAATATTTATAGGAGAAAAAATGTTCATAATAAGACTTTTATTATTAGAAAGCTTGTTAATATGAAGTTGAGAGATAAACAATCACTTGCAGAACACTTGAGTAAATTTCAATAGTTGGTAAATGAGTTAAATACGATGAAAATAACTCTAGATGATGAATTGCATGTGTTATTGGTCTTAAGCTGTAGCGCTCGGACCGAGGGGAAAAAAAAAAGCCACGTCGGCAGCCACGTCAGCAGGCCCGGTCAGCAGTCCCGGCCAACCGAGGCCTGCCACGTGGCAAGACCACGTCGCTCCTGAACGGGCCACGTTGGCGATCCGCGTGGGCGCGATCGGACGGCCCAGATCAATCGCGTGATCGGACGGCCCAGATTTAATCGCACGGACGGCCCAGATTAAAACAAAATGGACGGCTGAGATCAAAGGGTAAGGGGTTATAAATAGAACCCCCACACCAGACCACAAACCCTAGCCGCCTGCCGCTCGCTGGAGAAGACGAACCAGAGGCCGACCGCCGCCACCCGCCACCACACCGGGGAAATTTTCGACCGCCGATCGAGGTAAATTTCATACCCCGACTCATTTTTCCACGCTGATTCCTCCTATGGCCAAATCGAAGCCAAAATCCCGGCCAAACGGCCGAAATACGCTGCCGAAGACCAGCGGCGCCGCCACGCCCCCTCTCGGTTTTTGCCTCCGACGAGGCCCTTCCCAGCCTCCGTTTGATGCAATTTTTATATCACCGTGATCACCATTCTTTTCTCTACAGGTTGACCGAAGCCGAATCACCAAAACACGAACCTCACCGGAGAGCCGCCGCACCCGAGAGCGCCGCCGCCGGTAAACTCCGTTTTTCCGTGATTTTTTGGCCCCCCGAGGGCCCTAGGGTTGTTTTCTCACAGGGACCGATGCGAGTGTGGCCGAATTCGGCCGAAAACAGCCAACCCGAGGCGACTCGCCGCCGCCAGCGGCGGCGCCGTCGCCGGAGCACGGCGGAGCCGCCGTGCCGGAGTTGCGATTTGGGCCGAAAGAGGCCCTGGGCCTAATTTGGGTTTTTTTTAGAACACGTACAGGTACCGTTAGTGTGTTTCAGTTCCCCAGAAAAATTTAGGGAAAATTAGGGACGGCCTGTAGGCGCACTGTGAATCGTATTTGGATCCCGAAAACAAGTAAGGACCCCTCACCCTATTTCCTATCACGGTATTAAAGTTCAAAATGATAAAACGGTATTTCTTGAATTAACGCATGTGTGAAATTGCTTAAGGTTGCTAATGGAGCCCGAGTCTAGTGTGATTTATGATTTACTGTTATTTGGCCTGTTTTACAGCTTTAAATGCATTATGAGGTTTGATGTGTTCATTTTATAGTTTCGAGTGCATATATTACTGTTTTATTTATTTATGGGTTGAAAGACTGAAGAACTGATACTGTATGTTGTCTGTTTGGCATGAATTACGATTTGCTTTCTTAAATGTTAATGGATGATGCTTATTGAGGAACAGGAAAATGAAACATTGTGTAGACTGATAATTGTATGATGGGGTCAGCCTGACTAGATATCCTGGGAGATGGTGGACGGACCGGGTCCGTAGGGAACCCTACCGGGATTGTGGTCTCACATGCCGGACGGGGTATGGAGATCTTATGGTTTTGGCGCCCATGCCGGACGGGGTATGGGGACGGCCCGTTTCACCCTCATACCGGACGGGGTATTGAGGTTTATGGTTTTGGCACCCATACCGGACGGGGTATGGGGACGGCCCTGGAAACGGATTATGAATGTTAAAGGTTAACGGGTACCGGGACCCCTAGGGACCCCCATGGATACTAGTAGGCTGGTAAATGAGAAAAGGATATGTTGTATAATGATTGAATTACAAAATGCGTGATAAGTGCTATGTTTTACAGCTTATATTATTCCATGATTGTGATAATGTTATTGTTTTCATATATTGTTTTATAAATTCCACCGAGGTAAGTGGATGGTAAAGGTTTTATTATTAATAAAAGGATTTGTCGTAAATCATGCTCCATTGGTCTCTTGTGTTTTTCTACCCACCTTTACCTCCGTGACGGTGAGATATCGTGATGTTCTTACTGGGCTAGTGTAGCTCACTCCTTATTTAACCATTTCAGATCAGGAAGACATGGTTCCCGAGCCCGTTCCGCAGGAGGACGACGAAGAGGATGCCTAGAGACTCTGTAGTCATACTCATAGTTTTATTTTCGAGTTTCTCTCTTAGTTAGTTTAATCTTTTATATTTTAAGTACGTTTTTTGTTTTCGTGTAAGGGATGTTAACGGAAATTTTGATTTTGCTTCCGCATTAAATATTTATAATATAATTTCCATTTTGAATTACCGGGGCTGTTACATAAGCTCTTTACCAGACAGTTGAAAAATCTTAGTAGCATCTCTTAACAATTCTACTCCAGACAATATTTTATCTTTATATGTGGTAATAGATAGTCTACACAATGAATAGATTAAAAGAAAATATATGGGTACTGAGACTTCACAAACATTTGTTACAACAATAGAGAGCAGAGGTAGAAGTAAAATTAGAGTTCCTAAGGGGCACTATAAATCCAGAGGTAAATCACAAGTGAAAGTTAAATTCAGTTGTTATCATTACGGTAAATATGGACAATGGTGATGAATACATTTCAAAGGAGTTTGAGAATTACTGCCTACAGCATGGAATTAGACATGAGAAGACAGTGTCTGGTACTCTTCAATATAATGGCGTAGCTGAAAGAACAATTAGAATTCTCATTGAAAAGGTTAGATGCATATTGAAAGTGGCTAATTTACTAAAATCATTTTAGGGTGAAGCCTACACTGCCTGCTACTTAATGAATCGATCTCCATCAACTCCTTTAGATTTTATATTTCTCAGAGAGTATGGTATGAAAAAGACGTCAATTATTCTCATTTAAAGATATTTAGCTGCAAGATATTTATACATGTACCTACGAAGTAGAGACAAAACTTTGATGACATGACAGTTTTATGTATTTTTCTGGGTTATGAAGATATGGAGTTTGGATACAGATCATGGGAGCCAGTAAAAAAAAAGTTGTAAGGTCCAGAAATATGATTTTTGACAAGCACAAGACCCTATCAAACTTTGAGACATCAGAGAATATTATAAATGAAGATATTCCTTTTCCTACACTAATTTATCATTTGATCAGAGATGTCACATATAAAAGAGAGTTACATGATAATAAAGGATTTGATAATATGTCAACATCAGATGATATTGAGCAGGAGCAGCAACCCCTTGCATCCTAGGTTACAGAAGAATATCAGCTTAGAAAATCAACTAGAACACATCATCCTTCTACCAGATACCCCAGTTTTGAGTATATTACAGTTACTAAAGAGGGGGAGCCATAAAGTTTTCAAGAATTTCAGAACCATCAAGAAAAGGCATAGTGGTTAAAAGTAATGGAAGAAGAGATGATCTATTTAAAGAAAAATAATACCTATGAATTAGTTAAACTTCCAAAAGGCATAAAAACTTTGAAAAATAAGTGAGTATACAAGCTTAAGATGATTAGTGAGAAACTAGTGAAATATAAGACTCGTTTGGTAGTAAAGGGTTTCATTCAGAAGAAAAGAATTGACTTTGATGAGATATTTTCTCATGTTGTGAAGATGAGCTCCATTCCGGTAATTCTTGATTTGACTGTTAGTTTAGATCTTGAGCTTGAACAACCAAATGTGAAAAATACATTCTTTCATGGTGATTTAAAGGAAGAAATCTACATGGATTAACTATAGGGATTTTAAGTCAAAGGGAAAGAACACATAGTTTGCAGGTTGAAAAAGAGTTCGTACGAATTAAAATAAGCTTCGAGACAATGGTACAAGAAATTTGATTCTTTCATGGTTAGTCATGGTTACACTAGAACAAATACAAATCATTGTGTGTACTTCAAGACATTCCCAAATGGTAAGTTTGTCATTCTATTACTTTATGTTGATGATATATTGATAGTAAGATAAAACACTACAAAGATTAATGCTTTGAAAAAAGAATTGTTTGACTCTTTTAATATGAAAGATATGGGACCAGTACGACAGATTTTAGGTATGCAGATTACTCATGACAGAAAAGCTAAAAAATTATGGTTGTCATAAAAAATGTATGTTGAACAGGTTTTGAACAGATTTCATATGAAAAATGTTAAGCCAGTTAGCATACTACTTGATAATCACTTCATACTTAGCAAGAAATTATGCCCTGCTACTCAAAAAAAGAAAAAGAAAAAATGTCAGTTGTCCCTTACTCCTCTGCAGTTGGGAGTTTGATGTATGTTATGGTTTACACTCAATCAGATATTGCTCATGTTGTTGGTTTGGCAAGCAATTTTCTTTCGTAAGAGTCATTGAGAAGTAGTAAAATAGATTTTCAGATATTTTGAGAAGTACTTCTAAAATGTGCTTATATTTTGGAGGTTTATAACTAATTTTATAGGGATATGCAAATACAGATATGGTAGGTGACCTTGATTGCAGAAAGTCTACTTCAGGGTATGTGTTTACTTTTGCAGGAAAAATTGTATCATGGCAGTTTAAATTGCAAAAATGTATTGTCTTATCTATAACTGAGACATAGCATATAGATTTAACTGAAGCAAGTAAAGAAATGTTCTGGATGAAAAAATATCTCAAAAAATTGGGGTTAAAGAAAAATTAGTATATAATGAATTGCGATAGTCAAAATACTCTAGATTTGAGTAAGAATGTCTATATCATTGTCGTACAGAACATATTGATATGAGATACCATTTAATATAAAATGTGGTAAATAATAAAGATATGCTATTAAAAAAGATTCACACAGATAAAAATTTAAGTAACGTATTAACTAAAGTAGTTACTCATGACAAACATCAGTCTTGCAATAAGAAAATAAGACTATGTTGGTTATGTATCCGTAAAAAAAAAAAAAAGGGCAAATCAATAATTTAAAAGAAAAGAAAAAAAAGAATTAGGGCTGCATTTCTTTTTTGGGGTATATATATATATATATGTGTGTGTGTGTGTGTTGCAAAGAAAAAAAAGAAAAGAAGAGAGGTTGTGCCACAAGATGAGAAAAAGAAGATAACTATACATATATATACATATATATATACACACATATATATATATATATATAAATTGAGTGGTGGTAGACAAGTAGATGGCTTCCATTATCTCTCTCTCTGATGACATCATTGTCGACATTAGCAATTTCATTTTTTTTTTCAATGTAAGTTCAAATTTAATTTTGTTTACATCTTTATTCTAATTATGCACAAATAAAATGTTATTCTTTATGTTCCCAATTTAATTATTTGTTCGCTATTTTGTAAATTATTTTATTAATAGTGAATTTGATTCAGATAAGTAATTTCCTTTTTAATATTAAAAGATTTTTTACCAAAAAATTTATTTTTATTTAATTTTATAATTTTTACTGATTAATTTAATTTATATAATTAATTTTATCGCTATTCGAAACCTATAAAAAAATCAACCAAGTCACAATCTTACAGGAACCACTATAAATACTTTATAATAAAATTGATTACACTACTACAATAAAATTGATTGAAGAATTCCCAATTTTTATTCTAAAAAATAAAACCAAATATATTGATTAACCAAAAACCCAATGCCCATGACAACTTAAAAAACCAACAGCGACAAAGAAATCGTAAATAAGAATCGACCCACCACCATTGCCGACTGTACATACACCATCTGTTTCTTTTTCCTTTATAAATTTTCTTTTCCGCCTGAGCTAAAATTTTCCATTAAGAAGATTCAGCAAATAACACAGGCATTGGGATCTTCTTCTACGCTTCTGACAAAATAGTGCTGAGTCATATGAGGATTCCAAGCTCTGTGGAGATTTGCAAGGTGAACGGCTAATTCATCTTTCTTGGGATCTTCTTTTTTTGGTTCTGGTTTTTTGGGTTCTTCTTTCTTCTTCTCAGGCTCTTTTGCAGGACCAACAGAGACGATTTCTGGATAGCATAACTTCTTCAGTTTGTTCACGATGTCCACGGGATCAACGTCTCCGATCACCGTCAGTTTCTGATCTTTCATGTCAATGGAAATGGATTCCACACCTGTCAACACACTTTAAGGGATCAGAGTTGGTTCAATAAGACCTGGGTTTTTTTTCTTTTTGTTTTGTTTGATAAAGACCCAGATGGGAAAATAAGAATACGATTGAACTCGTGGATGACGGATCCGTGAAGATTCATACGGTTTTTAATTTTCTTTAGTTTTCCTATAATCCAAACAGAGAAAGTTGAACACGAATGGAAAAGGCACTCGAATTCGGTACATACCTGAAAGACCAGAAACTCTCTTCATGGCTTTTTGCTTGTGTTTGTCATCGTGTAAATTCAGTTTCAATATCACTTTCTGCAACAAAATAGGATCGGACTGTTAAGATCTAAGCTAAAACATAATCAGAACGAAACAAAAAAAAAAAAACAACGGAACAATCAAAGGTCTAGGAAAAAGAGCAGAGAAAAACATGAAAATCAAACCCATCTTTCACGAACGGATATTTCCATGTAGAAAATTAGAACAGAGTTCGTAGAAAGTTAAACAGTTAATCAAAAAAAAAGAAAATACACAACGTATACCTTCATTTCTTAAAGCTTGAGAGACTTGAAGGACGATTTAAGAGCGAGCAAAATAAGAAAACAGAGGAGGACGAAGAAGAAAAAGAAGAAGAAGACGAGGGGTTGGACAAGCTCGGTGACTGATGAAGTGTTCAATTAATCCATAAAGCTATTTAAATATGGAGATTGATGAAGGGTGATGAAACCAAGTCAATCAACTCTTGCGTCAATGGTCAACTACAAGCAGTTTCGTGAGGCAAACTTTTTCTGAATCTTCCGCGTCTGAAGAAATCGGGTGGCCACCTTCTGGATACGACGACGTTTAACACTGCAGCTTTATTGAAAGTTCCACTCCTTTCCTTATCTACTAGGCCTCGAATTCCAGGAAATTTCGCAGTATTATTTACTATGATTCACAGCATTAATTATAAATAATAACTTCAATTATATATATAATTTATATTAAACTTTTAGGAAAATATTAATTATTTAAATATCAACATTAAAAAACTAAAGTTTTATACTCATAAATATATTTACAATTTTATATTGCTTCCATATAATCACATGGAGCCGAAACATTGACAGCAAAATGGTCATTTTCAATTCCCATTTTAACTTAAACTAATGGGTTTCCTGGTTCCTTCACAGATCTTCTTTTACCAGTCAAATAGTCCAAATACAGGGGTACCATCACCAACCAGTTACTGAACAAAGCATAAGTCAACAATATATACATATATTATGTGTATACATACTATTGTCTGTGTGAATCTGTGTGAATGTATGTATGTTATTTATGTATATACACAATTCATATGTATGTGTATGAAGTTCACATGGAGTTCATGGGTATGTGTATGAAGTTCACATGGAGTTCACCATATTTTATATGTTAGTATCCAAATAACATATTATTAATAATGTTATATTATAAAGAGGGTATGGTATTATAATAAAGAACGACGAAGT